TTTGTAACACACTTAGATTCTTTAGGCGCATTCTGCATTTGGGGAGTACTTTTTTTTTAAAAAAGATTTATTTATTTATTTGACAGAGACACAGCGAGAGAGGGAACACAAGCAGGGGGAGTAGGAGAGGGAGAAGCAGGCTTCCTGCAGAGCAGGGAGCCCGATGCGGGGCTCGATCCCAGGAGCCAGGGATCATGACCCGAGCCGAAGGCAGACACTTAACAACTGAGCCACCCAGGCGCCCCTGGGGAGTACTATTTTTTATGATATTTTTAAATTTCAAATTCCAGTTCATTGCTGGCATGTAAGAAAGCAATTGACTCTTGTATATTAGCTTTACAGCCTTACAGATCTTGTAGCCAGGAGTTTGTCAGTGCTGTGGCATTTCTACATAGACAATCATGTCATCTGCAAAGAGACAGTATTATTTCCTCCATTCCAATCTGTATATGTTTTATTTCCTTTTTGTGTGTGTGTTATTGCACTAGCTAGGACTTCTAGGATGATGTTTAATAGGAGCAATGAGAAAATACCTTGCCTTGTTCCTGATATTAGGATGAAGCGTCCTCCTCACTGTTAAGTATGTTGTTACAGGTTTCCTGTAGGTATTCTTTATTAAATTGAGGTGTTCCCCTCTAATTCTATTTTGAGGACCTTTATCATAAATGGGTGTTGGATTCTGTCATATACTTTTTCTGTATCAAGTGATCAGATCATATGATATATCTTATTTAGTCTGTTTATGTGGTGGATTACACTGATTTATTTTCAAATGTTAAATCAGCTTTGCATGCCTACAATAAATTCCACTTGTTAGGTGCATAATTTTTATACATTGTTGGATTCGATTTTCTGATACTTTGTTGAGGATTTTGTGTTTGTGTTCATGAGAGATACTGGTCTGTAGTTTTCCTTTCTTATAATGCCTTCTATCTGGTTTTGGAATTAGGGTAATGTTGGCCTCAGAGAATAAATCAAGCGTTCACTCTACTTCTGTTTTATGGAAGGCATTGTGGAGAATTGGCATTATTTCTTACCCAAATGTGTGGTAGAATTCCCTAGTGATCTCTAAATGTTTACTGGTGATGCTTAAATGTTTGGTAGAATTTGGTCTTGGTGATTTCTATCTTTGGGAGGTTATGAATTATTGATTCAATTTCTTTAATAGATACAGGGCTATTTAGGTTATTGTTCTCTCCTTGTGTGAGTTTTAGTAGTTTGTATCATTGAAGGAGATTGGTTCATTGTATCTAAGTTATCAAATTTGTAGGCATAGAGTTGTTAATAGAATTCCTTCATTATCTTCTTTTTTTTTTTAAAGATTTTATTTATTTGGGGCGCCTGGGTGGCTCAGTTGTTAAGCGTCTGCCTTCGGCTTGGGTCATGATCCCGGGGTCCTGGGATGGAGCCCCGCATTGGGCTCCCTGCTCCGCGGGAAGCCTGGTTCTCCCTCTCCCTCTCCCCGTGCTGTGTTCCCTCTCTCACTGTGTCTCTCTCTGTCAAATAAATAAAATCTTTAGAATTTTCTGTTTTCTTGATTATCCTGGCAAGAGATTTATCAATTTTTTTACATTTTCAAAGAATCAGCTTTTGGTTTTGTTGATTTTTTTCCTATTTTTTCCTGTTTTAGTTGTATTGATTACTAATTATTAATTTCTTTTCTTCTGCTTGCACTAGGCTTAAAATTACCTTTCTTTAGTTTCCTGAAGAGAAAACTTAGGTTATCGAAAACAGAAAGGAGATCCAAATTAACAAAATCAGAAATGAAAGTGAGGTTATCACTAGTGATTCCATGGACATTAAGAAGATAATGAAGGGGGGGCGCCTGGGTGGCTCAGTCATTAAGTGTCTGCCTTCGGCTTGGGTCATGATCCCAGGGTCCTGGGATCGAGCCCCGCATCCGGCACCCTGCTCGGCAGGAGGCCTGCTTCTCCCTCTTCCACTCCTGGGGAAACAGTGAGAGAGGGAACACAAGCAGGGGGAGTGGGAGAGGGAGAAGCAGGCTTAGATTATAGATGTTAGATCTTTTTCATTTTCTCACATACGCATTTAAGCTAGAAATTTCCTTCTAAGCACTACTTTTTCTATATCCCCAAAGTTTTGATAGGTTAATTTTATTTTCATTTAGTTCAAAATATTTTTGCATTTCTCTTGAAATTTTCCTTGACTCATGTGTTTAGAATTGTGTTAATTTCCAAATTTTTGTGTTTTTCCATCTTTCTGTCACTGATTTCTACTTTAATTCCAATGAGAGCATACTTTTATGATTTCTGTTCTTTTAAATTTGCTAAGGTGTATTTAATGGCCTAGAATATGGACTCTTAGTGAATGTTCTATGTGAACTTGAAAAAAAATGTGTTCTGATATTGGATGGAATGTTCTATAAATGCCATTTAGATCAAGTTGATTAATAGTGCTGTTCAGGTCAACTATATCCATACAGATATTTTGCCTGCTTAATCTGTCAATTACTGACTGGTGGGTGTTGAAGTCTGCAACTCTAATAATAGATTTGTCTGTTTCTCCTTTCTGTTTTATCAGTTTTTGCCTCATATATTTTGACACTTTCGTTAGGTACATATGTATTTAGGATTATTATGTGTTTGGTTTTTTCCATAATTGCTCCCTTTGTCATTATGTAGTGCCTTTTTTTTTATCTCTGATACTTTAATTGTTCTCAAGTCTGCTTTATCTGAAATTATATAGCTATTCCAGCATTTTTTTTGTAGGCTCTGTGCCCACTGTGGGGCTTGAATTCATGCCCCCAAGATTAAGAGTCAAATACTGTACCCACTGAGCCACCCAAGCACCCAGTCTTTATTTTTAAAATGGGCCTCTTGTCCAAAACATATAGTTGGATTTTATTTGTCCATTCTGACAATTTCTGTCTTTAGTGGGTGTATTTGGAGCATTCATATTTAAAATGATTCTTGATATATATTTGGATTAATATCAACAATGTGTAACTGTTTTCCATTTGTTTCCAAGGCTTCTTTTTCTGCCTTCTCTAGTTCTGAGTGTTTTACATGATTCCATTTGTCTTCTCTTAGTGTATCAATTATATTTCTTTTAAAAAAATTTTTAGTGATTTCCCTCAATTTTACAATATGTATTTTTAACTAGGTTTACTTTCAAAAAACAGTCTTCTGCTTCACTTATATGTAGTATAGGTACCCTGTTACAGAGTATTCATTATTCATTTCACTTATTCATATGCTATAATCACTAAATATATTGTTAATATTAGTACTTTAAACATTTATCTTTTGTATCACTTAAGAATAAGAAAAAGGAAACAATTTCATTATACTTTCATGTATTCCCTTCCACTGTTCTTTATGAAGATTTGAGTTGCTGACCTATTTTGAGTTGCTGATCAATTTTCTTTTGCCTAGAGAAAAGTTTTTAACATTTCTTTAGGGGAAGGTTTGCTGGTCATCAGTTTTTGTTTGAGAAAAATCTTTATTTCTCCTTCACTTTTGAAGGACAATTTTGCTGAATATAAAATTTTAATTTGGTGGGTTTTTTTTTTCCCTTTCAACACTTTAAATATTTCCACAGTTACAGAGATAGAAGTGTTAATGCTAAAATGGAAAATTTATTTCTCCTTGTAGTTCTGTCAAATTTTGATTTATTTATTTTGAGGTCAATCTAATAAGTGCATATAAATTTTAAAATACCATAAAGTGACACTTGTTATGGTTTGTAATGCTTTTTGCTTTGAAGTCTATTTTGTTATTTAACTACAATGGTTTCCTTTTGGTTACTGTTTTCATGTTATAATTTTCTTCTATACTTTTACTTTCAGTCTTTATGTATTTTTATATTTCAGATGTCTTTTGTAAACAGTATAACATTGTGTTTTTTCCAGTCTGAAAATCTTTCTTTTAATTGCTTCATGTAAACCATTTATATTTAATGTACTCACTGATATTAATAGATGTAAGTTAACCATTGTAAGCAAGTTCCTTTTCTGTGTCCCATCTGATGTATGTTAGTTTTCTCTTCTTTAGGATTATTTTCTTATTTTTGCCCCTCTATTAGCTTAGAAGTTTTACCTTTAATGGCTTTCTGGCAATTAGAGCATACAGTCTTGACTTAATCAAAGGCTAATATTAATTTTGTACTTTTACTTTAGCCCTCTTGACTCATATGTCATTTGTCGATATGAATTAAGATTCTAGTTTTATGTAGTATTGATTTAAGTTTACATACATATTTGTCTTTTTAATTGTTGTTTTTCCCTTTCTTATCTCCAGTATTCCATCTGGGATCATTTTCCTGTCACGTGAAAAATGCCCTGTAGCATTCAGTATTTCCTTTGGTTCATGCCTGCTGATGGCAAACTCTCCTTTTTTGTTTATTTGTAAAGGTTTTTATTTCACCTTTAATTTTGAAGGGTATTTTTCCTGGTTCTTAATTTTTTTGGCTGGCAATTATTTTCTTTCAAGTTGCTAAAGATACCATTCTACTGTCTTCATACCTCCATTGTTGCTCTTAAGAAGCCATCAATCAGCCTAACTTTGTTCCTTTCAAGGTGTACTCTATTTTTCTGGCTACTTTTATGATTTTGTCTTTGATTCTCTGAAAGGTCACTATTATGCATCTATGTGTGAGTTTCTTCTTATCCTGTTTGGGATATCTTGGACTTCTTAGATCTATGGATCAGTGTCTTTCATCAGTTCTGAAAAATCCTCAGTTGTCTCTTCAGAGGTTGCCTCTGAACATTTCCATTTCTCTTTTCCTTCTGGAACTCCAAGTAAACATTTGTTAGATCTTACCATGCCCTCCCATCTGAATTTTCCATCTTTTTGACTACCTGTACAGCCTTATGGATAGTTTCTTCTGAACATAATTTCTAGTTCTTTAATTCTCTTTTGAGCTGCATCTAATCTGCTGTTAAAGCCATCCACTGGATTTCTAATTTCAGCTGAAGTTTTTTTTTTTTGTAGTTTTAGAATTCCCTTTTTTTTTTTTTTTCACTTTTTCTGATTTCTGGCACCCTGTTGAAATTTTCAAGATTGGATTTTATTTATCTGAATACACTAAGCATTGTGTTTTCATAGTCTGTATCTGATGATTCAGATAATTCAAACCTAATGGATCTGTTTGTGTTGGCTGTTGTCTCTACCGCTTCATATTTATGATGTCTTTTTTTATTTGTATTCCTAGTTATCTTTCTGTGTGGACTTTGTACATGAACAATTGTTGGTTGAGATAATTTGGGGCCTAGGATGATGGACACTTACTCCAGAGAAGATTTTATTTGCATTGGTCAGGGCTTATAAGGGTTCTTCCTGTCTGGAACCACCATAATCTTTGTTTAAAGCTTAAAGTTTACTAGTCCAATTAGATGTTGCAAGGCCAAACTAAAAGACTTTGTGAGAGCTAGTTTATTTCCAGTTTATAATTACCCTTAAACTGAAACATTTGAGGTTCCCAGCATTATATGGGTGATGGTTTGTTAGGAAATCCCTTCCCTTGTAATGAGCCTTGGGTCTTTGATTAGCTGCCTTGAGTCAGCAGTAGATTCAACACAGTTTGGCACTGGTGTATTACTTAACCTCTATTCCTAACCACAGATGCCCTTGGGACAAATACAGTTAACCATATGAGTACTAAAAGAAAACATGGGTGAATTCCTCTTTGACCTCACGGAGGAAAATAATTAACTATGAATCAAAATCTAGATGGAATAAAAGAAAAGTTTGATAAATTTGACTACTTTTTAAATGTATGGCAGAAATACACCATATACAAAGTAGAAAAGCAACTAACAAGCTGGAAGTAAATATTTGCAACATATATAACAAAGGCCTAATATTGTTAATGTATAAAGGATACTGAAAATGAGAGAAGGACCAACAACCCAACGAAAATGTGGAAAGACGTGAACAATTTACAGTGATATTTAAATTGTCAAAAAAATGCATAATAAAATGCCATGAGATACTACTACTCACCTATCATGTTAGTGAAAATGAAAAAGTATTCCAACACATGTTGGAAAAGGTGTGAAGAACCAAGCACTCTCCTATACTGCTGGTGGGAAAGCAAAGAAACGGATCTAAGGCTCGGGGAGGGAACAGCCTGGAGATGGAGATTTGAGAATCATCTGTGCTTAGAGGGAAATGAACAGAAATCTCTCAGGGAGAGAGAACGTGTGGACTGAGAGAAGAGGCCCAGGAACACAGCTACTCAAGGTGGCAGCGCCGCTTCCCGGTGGGCACCACTACCTGGGCTCTGGAGTCAGGCAGAGCCGCTCTTGAAAGCAGCCTGTGGGACTCAGCTGCTGAGCGCTCCTGGCAAAGTCGGGTACCGTCCCTGTGATCAGCGGTCACACCTGGCAATGACGTACCTCGCAGAGGGATGCTGTGCGAGGACCTGAGATGCGCCAGGTAAAGCACCTGCGGTCGGGAAGCCTCCGGGCTCCTGCTCTCTCCTTGATGCCCCCTTTGCCACCCCGCCCCCCACCGTGTGCGGTTGCTCGGTCCCTTGGGGATGGGGGTGAGGGGGCGGGGTGGGGGACCGAGCTCGGGTGACGCGGCGCTCACGTGACCGGCTGGGCGCCGACGTGGGCAGCAGCCCCCGCGCCCGCCCGCTCGCCCGCCCTGCGGTCCGGTCCCTGCGCCCTCCGCTCCCATCACCCGCGCGGAACCAGCTCCCTGAGCT